AGGAGGAGGAGGAGGAGGAGGAGGAGGAGGAGGAGGAGCAGGAGGAGAAGGAGGGAGGTGGTGGATCAGGCGGTGTACTTAGAGGATACCTTGGACGACATGAAGGTAGGAGGAGGGAGGAGGAGGAGGAGGAGGAGGAGGAGGATTTCTTATTTTTTTCCACCTTTATCATTCTTTGTTAAAATTAACAGAATCGCATAGTTTCACATTTTTGGGCTCAGTTTGCACAATTTCAATTTTTTAAAAGCCTAAAACCGCGGGGACTGATAGTAACATAACGGTAAGCAAAGTGGAGAACTCTCTGTGTCTGTGGTGTAGCGGCCAGGCATGTGCTGTCACCCGCAATAGACCAGAGTTCAATTCTCGAGCGGGAAGGAATTGGTATCGAGTATCTCGACAGTCTTTTTGCTGGAATCTTTATATCGTTCTCACCCAGAGTTGGTCCTGACAGGCAGGATCGGAGCCCCACCTCCTGAATGGTCTAAATTGCATGAAATGTTATAGGTTTAACGCGTCTATCAATACTCTGAGTTTTGTTTAAGAGGCCCGGACCTTCGAGCTTAGCGTCCATCTGTGAAAGGACCGAAACAAATTATGGGGAATTCGTGTTAAATGTCTTTCCTAGGGACACATCGTCGGACTGAGCTGAGGTCACTGACCTAAAGATATATGTGAGACATCGTGGTGAAATCAGGCGCTCGTCAAAAGAATTAAATCCGAGAAATTGGCATTTTTCAGCCAGTTTATAATTTTTTTTCGAATTTCTGTTTTTTGGCCGAACACCTTGTATGTCCTTTCAAAAACACTTTTATGTGTGGGTTTTATGGAAAAACGTTGATTAATGGCACAACAAATTTAAATTTGCAGTTTCTAAGGACGGTTAATCTATGAGATTCACCAAACTTTGGCGGCCATTTTCTCGTTAATTTTGCCTCTGAAACCAGGTGACCCCACCTCCTTCAATCGCAGATATCTCGACTTCTGTTCAAGTTAATTAATATATATTTTTTAATCGAAAGCGAGCAAATGAACAATCTTTTAGATGATATCAAGAACTCCATATGCCCAAAAATTGACGAGCGCCTGATTTCACTGTGTTGTGACACATATCTTTTTAGGTCAGTGGCTGAGGCTTGAACCCTTGCTCCCGCAATCTCACGATTACGACTCCGATAGCCTAACCAACCACTAGGCCACCGATGCCACTCTAAATTATATGGATGGAGGCGTAAAACTCTTACGTAACCCCCCCCCCCAACAAAACAAAAACAAAAAACAAAAAACCCCCCAGAAAACAAAAAACAAAACAAAACAAAAATCTTGTTGGACAGATGTCACTAATCACTCACGCGGGCCAAGAACACGTGCACCGACTGTGCATGCATGGCGAGTGAGCAACACGTGTGCGACACACACCTTAAATCGACCCCCCTTTGATCACAGATTGTGAAGCATATCTGCGCTTTGATCTTGCGTGCTCAAAGTAATCACTATACTTTGTAAATGCACACAGAAATCTAATGGCTGTAATATAGTGTAAAGCGCATAGAGCTTGCTTTCGAGTGGGGATATGCGCTATACAAATGCTCTATATTATAACAATTATTAAATCAAATGGCTGCGCATACTTTTATTTGAATCCGTTTGGTACTTAATGTTTAACCCATGGCGTTCTTTACTTACGTAGAGTACGCTATGGTTTAACCCTATCCGTACACCCTGGGGTCATTTTGTACCCCCGGGTTGTATTTTTCACATTTTAGAACTCTTCTAGTACGAAGATATCTTTGAAACATTCAGTATTTCTCCAAAAATAATTTTGACAGACTGCTATGTAAAGCATACGGATCGGATTAACAAGTAAATTTCCTCTTTGAAAGTGGTGGCACAGAGTTCCCCTCGTCGTATGGATACGACAGTAAAAAACGACGTACGGATAGGGTTAAAATCCCCCCAACAGCAACAAAACTTACAAATACCCATCTCCTTCCCCCCTCGACCCCCCCCCCCCCAAACAAACAAACAAACAAACAAGCAAACAAGCAAACAAATACATACAACAACAAAAAGAACACAAACAAACCCCAAACAAACAAAACATCAAAAACAACCACCAACAAAGGAAAAAAGAAAATGAACACTACAAAAAAAAGCAATAACAAAACAACGAAGTTTTAATGGGAAATTAAAGGAAGACAAACAGACAGGCAAAAAACCCAATAATTTAAAAAACCCAACTCGACACAACACAAAACAAACCGGTCAAGCGAATATAAAATAGTTTTAAAATAGTTTAACAACAGAGGGACAAACAAGGGACACAGAAACATCAAAGAGTAAGTACAATAATTGTTCATCCTCACACTCACATCTTCAAAGCAAAACGTAGCTACTACTACTAACATTTAATGGAAAAGGCGTGGCTTGGTACTTGTTTATTAAAGGCGTGGCGTTTTTTTTGCAGCTGGTCGGCTATAGCGCAGTCGTAAAAAAACGACGTTTGATCTTGGACTTAGATCAAGCTGTCGTGAGTGTGAGCAATTAAATAAATGTGCGAGACTGCACATGCTGCAGGGTGTGAGGGTGTGTCCATGGGACCAGAACAGAAGAGAGAGAGAGAGAGAGAGAGAGAGAGAGAGAGAGAGAGAGTTGCTTTGATCTTCGTTTTTGATCCTCGAGTGTTACGGTGAAGTATAACAATAAAAATGATTAACAATAATACTGCTAGAATCGATTCCTGATAGTGATATCATATACCATTAGAGCAAACTCCAAATAGATTATTTCGTGCAAAGGAAACCGCCGACATCTGGGCTAGCTCGCTTGTCCTTAAAAGCGACCATTTATGAAACAGTTTAACGTCCGTTTCCGAAATGACCGAGCTCACACTGTGGAAAGCTTTGAAAACCTCAAAACGGTGAAAGTTCAAGAACTTCCAATTGAGGATTCGAACTAAGGCCATCTACACCATAAACTCTGGGTTTTTTTTTAACAGTTTCAAAAAGAACTTCTATTTGTACCCTCGTATCGGAGATGAGATGTTACCGCAGACTCCTTGACATCTCGTACAAAGACCACGTTTCAAATGCTGAAGTACGAAAGAGAATCACCAACGCAGTGGGACAATATGAAGATCTACTGACCACAGTGAAGAGACGAAAACTAAAATGGTATGGGCATGTCACAAGATCCACATGACTTGCCAAAACAATCCTGCAAGGAACCGTACAAGGAAAGAGAAAGAGAGGAAGGCAGAGAAGGAGATGGGAGGACAACATTACAGAGTGGACAGGAAAGACGATGGGTGACAATCTGTGGAGAGCAGAGGACAAAAATAGATGGCGAGAGCTGGTTTTCTAATGCAGTGGTGCCCCAACGGTTGCCCCAACCACGGGATAGAAGAAGAAGAAGAAGAAGATCGGAGACGAATGTTTAATTCTTTTATAGCTCATAGAGTTTAGAGGGGCGTTGAAAACCCACAAGAGTTTCCAAATACTTGTGTGTCGTGAGGAAACGTATACATGTAGTGAGATTGACTATGGCTTGTTCACTTTTGTCTGTACACGTTAAAAAGAAGTCTAGCGCATTTATTAATCGAAGTGACTATTCCCAGTGACACTGGGGATAGGTACAGAAACTATTCCCAGTGACAACGGAACTCTTTTGCATTAAAAAAATCCGAAGTCTTTGCATTGTAGACTCTCTTCTCACTTCCGTTCAGCCTACTGTTGTTCTCTTCTCTTACTTAGGGCTTGTTTGTTTTTGTAAAGTGTTTTACGGCGCTCGCAACTGCATAAGGTCATATGAGCGCGCGGTACACATCTAATATTTTCAGTTGGTAGGAAATTTAGAATTTTGCCCGGGTGGCGGCCGAAGCCTACTCTTATCGATTTTAGACCACCAAGGGATCTTTAACGCGCGCAACTTGCACACGGGCCCTCCGAGATTTTTCGCCCTTGTCCGAGAAGGCTATGTGTAGATCTTTCCTACCAGAAGATCACAGGTGTGGCAGAAAGACAGCAGTAAGAAGGAGCCAAGGAGTAGAAGTAGAATGGCTGCAGAAAGAGTCAGGAGCCCAGAGGAGGGGGCAAAGGAGGTGAGGGGGTGGGGGCAGAAAGTGGAAATGAAAGCAGACAATAGAACATTGCAAGAGAGCAGGAAAGGAGGTGAAAGGAGACAATTTTAGAGAAGAAAATTTTTCGGTCGCTACCCGGATTCGAACCCGGGACCTTTTGAATGAGAGGCCAACACCTTAAGCTCTAGGCCACGAGAGCCCCCTACTTAGGGCTTAGACTTGACCGTAGAAAAGATCTAGATCTAGATATAGAACTAGGTATATCTAGAACTAGATCTAGATCTAGATCTAAAAGAAAGAAGAATGGGGAAGGATTTCTACCTGTCCAGTACTGTGGTCTCCAAAATCCGTATGTAGATCTTGGTCTACAAGTACATTTATATTGCGACTGCGAATAACAAGCAAGCATAGAATGATCATTCCTTTTTCTTAAAAAAAAAATCTTCCACTCACCCCAGAATCAACTTTAGTTTAGTTAGATCTAGAATCTAGATCTAGATCTGCATTATTATAGTCTAGTATTTTGTAACCCATCAGCATCATGCCAATGTAGATCAGTGTGGGAACAATAGATCTAATGGGCCTGTCTGTTCTCAGTGTCACTGGGAATAGTTTCTGGGCCTATCCGCAGTGTCACTGGGAATAGTTTCTGGGCCTATCCGCAGTGTCACTGGGAATAGTTTCTGGGCCTATCCGCAGTGTCACTGGGAATAGTTTCTGGGCATATCCGCAGTGTCACTGGGAATAGTTTCTGGGCATATCCGCAGTGTCACTGGGAATAGTGCTTTCCTTTATTAAAGTACCCATGCTCATGAAACTTTGCAAGGCACTTTTCAGGCCAACGACCAAACAAAAATATTTTTAAAAAAATCTTTATCCAGTAACGAAGAGGTTTTTCTCTTTGGGTCCTATATATAAATACACTATTTTTTAAAACCCGATTTAGCCTACCATAAAAAGAAATATGTCGAAATATTATTAGTTTGAGGTGACCTTTATAAATGGGTGTAAGGAAAGATCGGAGGTGATTGAGGAGAGTGATTTCTTTTTGCCTCGTTTTAACCGCAGCCAGACGAAAGTGAACAAACTCTAGTAAGATTGGTTGATTGTTGTTGTTGTAAGATTGAATGGGTGGTTGGCGGATGCCCTAGTGTGGTCTGCTCCTTCTTTCCTATCATCAAACATCCATCGTCTTTATCACTCCTCCTCCTTTTTTGCGTTTGTTACTCTCTTGTAACACCTCTAATCTTCGGCACTTATATGAACTTATTGTGTTGCAAGTGTCGTAAACTCTTATTCAAACTAAAACTGTAGTAAATGATAAATAATAAAGAAATTACTCTTTTATTTGTCACAGAAAGGCACTTCGGTTTACAATGGCAAACATACATATACGTACATAAATACATAATTAGAAATACGTACATACATAAATACATACATAAATACTCAACATTACACAAATACAGAACAGTTCACAACCATGCCACTGTCGGTCGCCACTGTGCAGCGCCCTGTATTTTGAGCTTCGGTTGTCGTGTCTTGCTCAAGGACACACCCCAGTGACCACCCATCTGATTCCCGTGTCACCGACTCTTGCATGATATTACTTGAGTCTAAACTCTCTACTTACGTAGCCACTGGAGCCCCCTAGTTGACTAGTTGCGTGTAACCTCTCCCAGAAGTTCTCCCGACTGGACAGAGAGGAGAGAGCGCTGAGGGAGGCGAGGGCGGACCTACAGAAGAGGATGGAGATCTGTCTGTACGGCCGGCCACGGGACCCGCCGCTACCCGTGCTGTGCCAGGTCAGTGAGGGGTGTGTGTGTGTGTATGTGTGTGTGTGTGTGTGTGTGTGTGTGTGTGTTTCTGTGCTGTGCCAGGTCAGTGAGGGGGTGTGGTGGGTGTTTGTGTTTCTTCGTTGTTTAGTAAGGTTTTACAGCGCTCGTAACTGCATAAAAATATGAACGCCAAGTGGGGATGACAACAGAGATGTCCAAACGGGGAATCAGGCTTACTCTGCTCACCTCTCTAGCCTCAACAGCACACGGTTCTTCTTCTGTGCCTACCCACCAGGACGGTGCCACTGATTGAAGTGTCTTTAGGCCATTCCCAAAGGGGGACAGTAACTTGTTCTTATACACAGTAGAATTGTAAATGGGCTGATTCAACAATGTCATGCTCATAACGGTGTCTGAACTGCAACAGAGAACTGCCGCTTTTTCTTTCCTAATCCTTGCTATCGTCATTTTTTCTCTGCTTCTTTTGTAAGTTTGTCTCACTTTAATGACCCGCTATTTCCGGGGTGCCTTGATAGTCGAAGAAAACTTTGTGCTGTTGAAGCTAGAGAGGTGAGCAGAGTAAGTCTGATTCCCTGTAAAGACCTCTCTGTTGACATCCACCCCTTGGCGCTCATGACCTTATGTAGTTGCGAGCGCCGTAGAGGTACCAGATCAGGTCAGTGTTGGGGTGTGGAGGGTGTTTGTGGTTCTTCTTCTTCTTGTTCTTGTTCTTGTTCGTTCTTACTCTTCTTCTCCTTGTTTTTGTGTTTGTTCTTGTTTTTGTTCTTGTTCTTCCTGTTCTTGTTCTTTTTTCTTCTTCTTGTATTTCTTGTGCGGTGTTCAGGCATCAAGCAAAGTTGGCAAGCATGTAGCCAAACAGAACTGGAGGCTGAGGAACAAAGACAGAGAGCACACTCGTCTTGTCTTCAACTTTCTTACGTGCCTGAAAATTTCGCGTTTATCTCTCTCTCCACTCCTCCCTCTCTCTCTCTCCCTCCCTCCCTCCCTCTATCTATCTATCTATCTATCTATCTATCTATCTATCTATCTATCTATCTATCTATGAGACCTGTAATGTTGTGTAGCAGAATTTACCCACAACACCACTTGGTCAATTTTTCACCCCGCAATACTCTTTCAGTAGCTAAAAAGTTAAAAACCTACAATGCACACATATATTATACTCAAATTATTAAATTTGAACACAGTGACCCCTATGGCAAGGGACGTATGAAGTGATGACGTAATTGTTCTTTAAAAAATCATGAACAAAGTTTGTGTATTCTATGTGTTCTCGCCTGACTTTTACGCTGCTTCTATTATCTATTTTTGGTGGCCCAATTTTGCTATTTAAAAGGTTTTTTAATGGCTGCATCGATCGACATGCATTTTTCGCCAAAAAATTCTTTAAAATATTCTCCAGATCATGGCGCCCTTGGTTTTTTCAGTTTTGAGACAGTTTTGCTGCATAAAGCAAAATTTCTTTATTTCGCCGATCGCTTTTGTAGGCGGACGTTTCAGTCTC